CCACTTGGATGCAGCGGTATAATAAATATTGGAAAGCTTAAAGTTAAGTCAAAGAGAAAATGGAGACTACAGATGAGCACGAATGTTTACGACAATCAGAAATTACTCAGTGTCTCTAACCAATAATCAATAATCCCGAAGTCCCCATCCAGGGCGCTTAACGCGATCCATGTGAGCAAGTCTCTTGTTTGGAGTTTTCATACCCTTTTGCCAGGTCTTCGTTTGAAAACCCTTTACTGTTGTGCACTCATCACCTAGCTCTGCAAACAGCATGCGTCGTGGCAATCTATTTGGTTACATGGACAGTAGTCTATGGCGATCGACCACTTGATCCAGTTAGTGACTACGGTTACCTAAGACTCTGCGTCTAACCTGGGCATTTTATGACCGGTTTCCCCCGATAAAATCGTTTTATGCGGCGTAGATAGCGGTGTTCGAACATCGACAATCTATCTTTACCCTGTTTTCGTAATGGCAGTCCCTTTACCATAAGGCAGCACTGGCCGGACAGCTTCAGCATATACTCAACCCTTCACGGACAGCTGAATGTCGTGACAGCACCACAAATTTCTCAAATGTCAAATGCGGATCAAGCCTTCTGCATGCATGCCGACACTCCAGTCGTGAGGCTTTCACCGGCTAAGATGTAGATGTCCAGATAGAGAAAGTTGTTCACTACCTCTATTCCTTCTCTAGTAAGAGTGAGGCTGGGTGCTGCACCAACCCAGTACTGTAGTAACATTTTACACTTTTACGGTGTAAAACCCATATCGATTTTGGTGACACTTGCATTCATACTATTCAGAAGAGTTTACATCTTACTCGAATCGCTACTTGGCGATCCTACATAGATACCAACAGAGAATGTTAATGTGTAAAAATACCCAAAAGGATAATAGAGGGACGTTTTCCGTCTTCCAAGCTGAGATCTGAACTATTTCTTAACCGGGATCCTGAAGACGTAGAAAGATATGAGCGAAAAATGACAACGATGGTGTTCTTAGCGTTAAACATTTTGTGTAATCAGACTTTGTGCTGGTGAACTTATCGTGTTGTTTTGCTATATACCTCCGTTCCCCGGGGAGACTCCTGCCCAATCCTTCGCACGTATACCTTGTGAGCTGGGCACACTGATTAGTGAAGTTCGATTTGACGAGTCCTTCTTAACTATTACGGTTGTTTATTTGATTATGTTTCGCTTAGAAAATCGGCGGCCTTCGCTATTCAAAAGTAACCAGTATGAACAACTTATCTCTCTGTGATTGCACTATCAATTATCTATTGCTGCTACGGCTTCCAATAAGCTTAAGTCACAATTCGTCTGCTCCCATTTATTTATTTTGACGATAGTGATACTGATAACAATCAGAGAAAATAATGGTTCACTACTCCTAAAACATTCCACCCTCACCCCCACCCCCTGATCCCCAAACTACATCAACACAGTCCGGCTTGTCCGAGGCGGAACAGGCTCGAGTTCGGCACATTCTGGCTGAGCAGAATCAGATGAATCTGGAATTGTGTGATTTGCGTGTAGAGGTGGTCGAATTGTCCCGTTTGGCCACCATCAAATCGGACGAACGGGAACAGAAGGCACGCGATTTTCGCACTGCCAATTCCCGATACACTCGGATTTTGGACGAGATTAAAACAAAGAAATTACAAATTCAGGAATATGAAAAATCGTTGCGGGAAACATTGGTAAGTATACCACATCCGTGTTTGTACGTGATCCCATCAGTCCTCATCCATCCACCCATCCAACTAACCCCTCTGTTTTATGGAATTCCTTTGTGCCCGTTCTGTTCCCAGCGTCGCTCACGAGATTTTGCCGCATTGTATGATGCGATCAAAGAAGAACGAAGCAATTGTCTCTCGCTGATCCAACTGGCTCAGCAACGTATGAAAGAGATGGAGGAGAAGATGCGCATTTGTGTGAACGAGGTGCAAATTTTGCGTGAGACATTTGCACAGAAAAATGAACAAATCGGTCGACAACGATCGCGATACAAAATCTCCGTGTCGGATCGGGACATGTTGCGCAGTGAACTTTCGAAATACGTAAGTGATAATCTGGGCCTAACTTTTACTCCCTCTCTCGGTTTTGTGTAACATTTTGCCGATTTTCTCAGCGCATACGGGTACAGAACATTTGCTTATTGAGTCAAACTTCTGATCTCATAGGGGGGTGGGGTGGTATTTCGTTCTGGTTTTCAGCAAAGATGTATTACTATCGTTTTATACAGTGAATGATTGCATTTTCCATCATCGAGGGCTCTCTGAGCTGCAGCATGTTTTCAGACGCTTCCTGGTCACTCAACTTTTCCTATCGGAATAACCGCTACATTTCTTGAAGTTTAAGACACTTGATGACCAATTATGAGTGTGATTTCGATTTGGGAACAACTAGTGTCAACTTGGGTTTTTCACTTTAAACTCAACTCTACCTATTTTCTTTAATCAACCTAACCAATCTGTCATGATTCTCCCTCCCACGCGTGTATTTAGGACGTTTTGGAACGCGAACTGGGAAGCAGAAGAGAGCAACTGACCATGGAAGTTGATTCGCAGAATCGAATTATTGCCAAAAATAAACAAGCTATGTTGCAACTGAAAGAAGACATGAGTCGAGTGTTGCGATTGCGTAACAATCGGGCAGTTCAATTAATCGAACGAAATGAGGAACTTTGTGTGCTACAAGTGAGTTTCCATCAATTTGTTCGATGTCATATCATACACATTTGTGTTTAGTTCTATGCCTGAAAAATCAGTGCAACAATTCACCAATAGACTGTACAGTTGGAATCGACTTGGTTCAACAGAGTGTATTGGATAATCGAACGACAAATTGTTCAATATTGGTTGAATAAAAATTAATGACGACGAGACTAGTCCCAATCAAAAATTATAAACTGTGTGATACATCACGAAGAGAACCCCCGCATTCAGTCGCAGTAGCCTGTTGAGAACTGAAACGCTCTCATCGAGAGTTCGAGTGGTATATGTATCGTTGCCGCTTCCTAACAATAATTAAGCTGTAGTACTGTGATAATCCTAGCCTACGGGATAACGCCAGCCCCGGAGCGACACGTTACTGCGTCTGGACAACAATGGTGAGTCAGACCTCCCAGTTGACGCCAGCCCAGCGCCTACGCATTACAGCCTGTGGANATCGAACCACAGGCGAATCGTGCCGACCAATCAGAAGTCGTTCAGTCCATGCAGAAGCTGTATGACATCAAGAATATAAGCAGCCGACTGGTGGATACCTGTATAGCCAATCAACTTTCCCTGTACCTGTTAATTAATCCACTTGATTTCTTACAATAAAGGAACTACTGCTTTTGTGGCCTTATCCTTGCATCTTGGTTAGGTGAGATACAAACTTGCAAATACTATTGTGATTCAGCGATCCAGTTGCTTTCGTGATTTGTGATTCGTAATACGTGATCTGTGACTAATTCAACTACTACAAATACAGCGTTTCAAGAGTTTTTCATTGGGGTATTTGACAAATTGGTATTGGGCGGAGAGATTTGTGTTGGGATATTACTGGCTGGGACCGTGCAGAAATTGTATTAATCGTTGTTGAAGCATGGATTGAAGTCGCAGTCAAAGTTTAATAATGGGAACTACTTACAAGCGGTTGCTTTTCTTGTCTCATATGGTTAAGCACAACTGGATCGATTTATGTGGTTCATAGAAAGATGAGAAATGTTACAAATTAAACTTGTTTCGTGCACTGCCACGGATGTCAAAATTTAAGACTTGTCAAAGTTTCATCTAGTTTTTGCTTGAAAGAATCAATAATGGGCGCATAAAGAACGTCAGAGGGTAGAGAATTCCAAATACTGCACACTCTGAATGATGTCAGCATTCGAATCGATACTTTTGGACATAAGTCTTCACCATCTTGGTGGCTATTTGTGCAGACGATTCGGAATCTTACGATCGCGTTGCAGCCATGGATTGCACGCTTGAAATGCATACTCTATGTGGGATCGAATGTAGGCTGATGAAAAACATGAGAACAGCATGGGTTAGAATTTGCCAAATACTCGCTTTAGCAGACTAACATATCTTGCGGCGATGAACAACGCCCTGGAGCAGTTTAAAGAATAACTTAGGTCGTCTTGAACAATGACACCGAGATCCTTCTTATTCGAGGCATACAGATATCCCAGAAAGTACGGAAAACAATTTTTCCATCGAAGGGATACGATTGTACATTTTGATGCATTTAGTTCGACGTTGTTTTCGATCGACCATTGATAAACAGCATTAGGTGTTCTCTGAAGTGAGAAGCAAATTGTACCGAAATTCTTGGTAAGCAATTACCATAGCAGCATTCATTTGATACCAAGTACTTTTCGTATATTTCGGAAAATGTCGTACCATAGTAATAGTACACAAACTATAAGTTTTGAATAGTGTTGCAATTAAAATAACAGCTCCATCACAGTATTCATGTAGTTAATCCGGAAGAACGAGAATGTCAATTTTTCTAGTAATAATCGAAACCATAATCCAAAATATCATCTATAGCTCGTGTGTTACTTTTCTGTTCAATAGGAAAAACTGCGCATTCAAGAACAGACCGAGATCAGAGGAGAAGCTGAATTGGAAAATCTGGAAGAACAAATCCGATGGCTTGAGCAAGAAAAGAAAGATCTTCAAAGGTCTATACAATTGTACCAGAAGAAAGTGATCCATCGACGTGAACTGGAAGATGAATTGACTAGCCGGCAAATTCAAGTATGTGATTCCAGTAGAATAAGCCCCCAGGATACTTTCTGTTTGAAGACTGTTAGGCATAGAATCGATTGACAGGGAACAAACAGAGTAAAAAATAGTTTTGACAAATTCCGACTCTTAAGAAATTTTATGCAACCAGTTCCATTTAACCTTTTCATGAGGGCAAGAAGAAGCATTTTGATCACAGGATGTGTCGAATGCAATCATCTCGTAGTCATTTTGTCAGTTCACGTTTGGTTAAAAGAGTGACAGGTTTGGGGACAGGCGAATACACAAGGGGAAGAGAAATCAATCAATCCGAAGGCTAAAGGTCACTAAGAGGAGCCGGATCGGATGTTGGGGTAGGGAGCGGAATCACTGCGGGGGTGGGGAGGGAGGAGGACAGCGCGAGGCTAGCCACAAATTCAGTCTGTTCACATAAATTGGTCTTGTAACGTCAATTGGCAGCTGCTTCAGCGAATCGTAGGAGACGGCTACCGTTCTGGCGGATCAAGGCATGAAAGGCGTCCCTAGGTTTGTCACATTCTTTGGACAGGTTGGACGCCAAATTCTTCCGTGCATGATCTGCTATCCTGGTAGACAGTCACCTTTCAGTTCTTCCGACGTACTTGCTACCGCAAGTATACTGAGGTAGGTAAACACAGGAGATAACTGAAGAGTCGGGTTTTTCTGGATTGAATTCAAGGAGCATTCGCTTCGTGTCGTGTAGTGTTATAAGGGAGACAGCTTTATACGTTTTTTCAATCGCTTGTTTCAAACTGCGCTGTATTCGCCTATCATTTTGATCCCCTTGAAACGGTATGGTGACAAAAACAGCTTTTTGGGGCGGTCACCTTTTTCTGGTTTATTCAACGCTCTATACTTTAAAATAAACTTTCGCGGGTCTCCATTTTCGTGCATTACCGTGGATATGCAGCGAACATCGAGTCCTAACCTTTCACTGTTGCAGATTATCCTGGCTCTAGAGAATAAACTGCACCAACGATCGTTTGTATTGTATTGGACAGAAACTTCTAAAATTAAGATGTTATCCCGTCCATGTCGGTTTTTAATGACAGGTTATGAGAGATCCGTCCTCTTTTCTCGTCAATTTGACCTCCACGATGATGAGATTACCAAGAAATAATTCAATTCAACACATCCTGTGAATATGACACTTCTTGGTCTCATGATAATTCCAGCTCGTTTAGTTCGATCGTGAAACCCATTATGTGAAAACTAGGCCCATTCTTCTCTGACCGTGCAAACCCTACGCATAATTATTCGTACAGACTATATTTTGATTGATTGATGAATAAATAACAGAAATCTAACCCATTTCTTTTTGGCGATTGAAGTCACGAAGTCTATTGGTTGCACAGCGGGGTATCTATCCCGGCGCACCTGGGAGCAGCATCTAGCTTGGCTTAGCTGCGCAACAGTCAAGTTGAGCATAAGTGCCACAGTTTTTCTCCTTGTAGGTACTAAGCCCATTATAAGTGTGACCGAAGAATTTCAACCTCCAATACCGGATTCCTCAAGGAATTCTGACCTCAACGGACAGCCTCTATCCTCCCTTGGTGCGCCTCCTTAACCTGACACCCTACAAGTTACGCGAAAAAAATCACTGGCTCATATTGAAACGCACTTCCAAAACGAGACATAAATATGGCTCAATTTATGTGAATACTTAGACTATTCCCGATTAAACCCTTTGCAACATTGGAACTGAAGTCCGAAGGCGAAAAACGGTTTTCTAATGATTTAAAATCCTGCCTATTCATGTCGCATAAGGATTTGTTGACAGTGAGGACATATAGGTCGAAAGGTCATTTGGAGTAGGGAGATGGTGGTGAGAGATGAGCCCTATATGTCTATGTGAAATCGATGACTATTCGAGTGTAGATCATAGTGCTGAATCTCTTTTTGTTTCACCAACTCTATCTCTAACTAGCGGTGTAGACACTGCTTCATTGACTTGATCAAGAAATACTGAAACAGAAATCAAACAACTCCATTTTCGCCAAACGTAATGGAAAACTACAAGTCTCCTCTATAACCTCACAGTTTGACTGGGAAACTGGATTGTGTCCGTCTGGGATGCTAGTTGACGCATTGTCAAAACTGTCTTATACTAACTGATAATGGTGCTCTCATTTGTTAAATACAGTTCGCCGTGTGCAAAGATCACGTGACCCGTTTAGAAAAGGCAGTGGTGGATCCGACCGGACCGGTTATTGATCCGGAAACTGGGGAACCGGCTTGTCTGGATCTAGTTCAAGCAAGAGAACTGAACGGTAAAGATCCGGATCCGGCCGAATTACGCCTGAAAATTGACTCGATCCAGTGTCAACTATTGGCCAAGGAACACAAATTGTTAGAGTTTGATATGCTTCTGGAATCGATCAATCGTTTGGTGGAGAAACTTGAAAGCAGGACTATTGTGGATAAGTAAGTACCATACATCTATTGTTTCGCAAATTCTAGCTTCATTGCAAAAGCTTTTCACTGGAACTGTTCTACACGCAGACTTTGTTTTAAAATGCGACGAGCAAATTTTCCATCATCTATACTGTCGTTCCTTCGTTTGATGCATATATATATATATATATATATATATATGACATTATTACACTAATTCAAACACTCAAAAACGTTTAAACCGGTATAGCATTTGCAATGAAGACAGATAAACATAGTTTTCTCATTTTTCCGGTGTTGGATTTTGTCGAACGGAGGATGATCATATTAAAAGAGTATACTGCAATCTCCCGTGGGAGCATAGTACACACACAAATTCTTCCATCTGAATCCGATTAGACCTTAAATTGATCCAATGGCTATCATTCTGTGAGCATTTTTCCATTACTCGATATGTAAGAGCATGACTAGGAATATCCGACTCGTTTTCTCAAAAGGAAAGCAATTGAAATTTTCAATAAGTTGCGTCATAATTGGTCCCCATTTTGCTTTTTATGACCTGAATTCGTTAGGAGTCAATTATCGTTTGTTTGGATGTTACGTGATGTGTTGCTTATCGGTAATCTGGCTATTGGAGCTTGAGTGCTTGCACTAATTGCTTCTGAGCACACAAATTTGGGTTGTGGAAACGGATGCTGACTGCATGTGTCCAGACCGTCCCGTTCAGTCTGTTGAGGGATCGGTGTGATTCGTGCTGACAAGGTGTGACACAACGGCAATTGTGATTGACCTAATTACTCCACTTCTCAATCACAAGTGCGGCCAACATACTTTGCTCCACGAGAGCAAGTGGAAGAACAAACACAGAAAGAGGCGGCAGAATCGGGCGTTCTACCCTTCAACCGCGGATACACTAACGTGTTAGACGTGAATTGGATCTGGAGCATGACTGCTTAGAACGTTTTGTTGATGATTTCTGATAGCCTGCTATGCACAATCTCTGCTAAGGTGTCACCTTGAAATAGTAAAGAGGCGTACACAGACTTTTCCTCAGCAATGATCCACTTGGGAGACGCCACGTGTCTTTGCATCACAGATTCCACCAGACGCTCCGGATATCCATTCTTGATGAAGGTACTCCGCGCATTTCGAAGTTCATCAACCAACAAGTACTATACGTAGATTCTTCTCGCTCTGTTGGTCAAACAGAGTATGGGGTTGTTCTCTACACTGCGTAGTACAAGGCTACGGAAATGAATATACTGCCCGTGTCACGTCACCTTCCTATGCACTGACCGTATGATCGGCCCGTCATCACGAGGAGTAAGACAAACATCCAGATATACTATCTGATTCTTAGCTTCATTTTCAATCGTGAACTTCAACTTACAATCTGCAGCACTAAAGAGATGGAGCAGATTTTGACACTCCACTGTGGAGTCGACTACGCACAAAATGTCATCTACATAACATGAGTACAGTACGCGTTGTTGGATATGTGTTTCAAGCCGATCGTTTTCCACTTTAGACATAACACATCGGCAAATAAGGATCCAAATGAGGACCCCATGGCTACACCGTCCTTCTGGCGTTAGATATTCTCCCTAAACTTGAATTGAACATTGTGAGTGCACAAAAAATAACAATTGTTGTAAGTCATCTGTCGGAAGACCAACGGTAATCCCGTTGCTTTCAATATAACCATACAAATGATTAATTTTATCACCGATGAGAAAATTCGTGAAGAAAGATGTGAAACCTAGAGAAAAAATGTAACGATATTTGATATTGAAGCCAGATAAGGCGTCAATGAGACTGAGTCATCGTCATTTCCACCGGTTCCAGGGGACGAGCCAGCCATTTAGTCACAGCGTGGTAAGAAGAGTTGCGTGTGTTCAAGATCGGTCGGAGATGAACTCCATTTTTATGTACTTTGGGAAGCCCATACAATCGTGGTATCGCAGTGCCTGTTGGACGAACCCGTTCAAAAGTGGTGGTATCTGTGGATCCCTTTTGATTCAGCATTCGTAATGTTGTAAAAATGGCTTTCTCCATTTGAGATGTCCTGTCATCTTGGGATATTTTTTCTGAATTTCCATTTAACTTTCAGAACCGTTGCCATCTGATCAATGTAGTCGGATCTGTTAAATATGACGATAACCGATTCTGTGTCTGGTTTCGTTATGATGATCTCCGTGTTTCTTTGTAACTCTCTTCGTTTCTCTATATATTTTTCTGCTACTAACCCGTGAGTCGATGGTTTGGCACTCTGATATTGATCGCAATTGGTCACCAAAGTAGGCTTAGGCTGTAATGATCGTAGTAGTAGTAGTTATACGCACGGACCACGTAATGCGAATCATGGAACCCGAATCAAGGATCAGCTATCACGGACTGGATCACGAAAGCACTGAACCGCAATAGCAACTAGCACTCAATGTCCCACCTAACTGACGCGAGGAAAAGGTCACAGGAATGGTGGCTCGTTTATTAGAGGAAATGAGGGCGACTGAATCATATGTACAAAAGAAGATCGTTGGTTATCCAGGCTTCCACCAATCGCATTCCAGTATTGCTTGCATCATTCTCCTTCTGCCTGAACTGCGCTGTCTTGGATTGGCTGGCACGATCTGCCTATTGTGTGTAGTCAGAAGCAGTGACATGTACGCGCGTCATTGACGTCACCTTTGGAATTTGATTGATCGCAGGTGTCCAAAAACTGTAGCGCGCCGCTC